TTACAGTTCAGTCCTTCAGCTACAAAAGTGCAATTGGTGAAAATTTTGTAGCTCTTAAAGATTCGGACCTATGGATTTATGAAAATGAGTCTCCAAGCCAAAAAACTTGCCATTCTCAAATGTTCGATCACTTGTATTATCGAAAATATGCAAATAAAAAAAAATTCCTCGGACACGTATCTCTTTTTTTTCGACATAGAATCCGTAAAAAAAGTTTCAGTCAAATCGAAGAGGTGCCGATTAATTTTCATCAAAATCCGTTCGGTTTGTAAAAGAATTACCCATATATAGATACCATAAATATATAGAATGGACCATCGATGGCAGAGGGTAGAAAGATGAATAGAGTGACAGGTAGAAAAGTAGATGAACTTCTTTTTCTGTTTACTAAAACTTGATTGATAGATACTGCTGAATCGACAACAAAGCTTTAATAAACAGAGAAAAAAATGTTCATCCGTTTATTTGCCTCTCACACTCTTTTTACTCCCATCACTGTCATCGGTAGTCCATTCTACATGTCAATGATAGAAACTAATTGAATTCATTATAAAGAATCTTTAAAATTTAGAGATAAGTTGCTACAATTATGTTATTATGTATCTTGCTATTAAGAGATAGATATCTACAGTTTATTATCTAAACTCAAATCTTGAATTCAAGTAACTTAAAAAATAAATAAATAAATTGTTGATTTGCTTAATTAATTTTAATATATTATAAATAATTGAGAAATATAAAATGTTGTTAACAGGATTTAAAAAATTACTTTAATTAATCTTTACATAATGGAAACATGCATTAATAAAAAGCTCAGCTAACAAGGTTACGTCATTTTTTTCAACTCGTAAACGTCATCAGTTACTTATCATCAACGTCATTTAGACGTCGTTATGACGTGATTATGTCAAAGTCTATTATCATAATAACGTCACAAATGATGTAAAAGTGATATTTACCCTGTAAATAAACTGATGTTATTTATTGTCATTTTGACGTCAAAATGATCTAAAAATTACGACAAATAATGTGAGCTTGTTTATTTGATTTTTAGTCATATCAATTGCAATACTTTATAACTCTAATGACTTTACAATTAAATAACATAGCAGCACCTGTAATACGAGGTCTACAATAGAAGTCATAGCGGTTGTAGAGTCTTAAGTCGTAGAAAATTCATCAATTGTAGTCAATATTCTTCTCATATTGGAATGTGATTAGTTAATTTTTTACGACTTAAGACGTTACGACTACTATAATAGACCCCGCATAAAGCGCTAATAAAGTGCTTATATACATATTTTTAATGCCTTTTTAATGCTTTTTAGGCGCTGTGTGCTTGAGAATAAAGCTCTAGATACACCAAAGTAATGCAAACTTTCTCCATCTTTGACCTAATAATCATAGCATATTAAAATACAATCCTTTTTCCTTATGCGAAAATTTTACTTGAAATATTATATAGTACATATATATACGTAATGTATATATACTCGTAAAGACATTAAAAATGATTAAAAGAACAATTTTCACATTATTTATTTTAGAAAAAGATCAAGTTTCAAGAAATGTAAAAAAATTATTTATGTATAATCATACATAAAATTATATATAATTATGTAAAGGGTGTCCCAAAATTAACGCAAGATTTGAATTTGTCGCCATTTGTGCAGTAAAGTGTTGGCAACCTAAAAAAACAATTTAACAGCTGACAGTTTAGGGTTAGTAAAAATGAGTTCGTTGAATGGATTATTGAATCATCAACAAATGGATGCTGATTTTTCGAGCAAAATCATCCTAAGCGATGAAGCACATTTTCACCTTGATGGCTTTGTTAATCGCCAAAATTGCCCCCTAGATCGTGTGATTTAACACCATTAGATTTCTTTTTATGGGGTTATTTGAAATCACAGGTCTATGTCAACA